AGAACCAAATTAGTTTGCAGATGAGTGTATATTCGCTAATTTCGTGCAATTTGGTTTCAAGTAGAACATACGGTTGACGGAAACCCGGGGACTGCGCCCACCTGATGAGCCCCAAGGAGGGCGAAACCGGTCGTGGGCTGTCGATGGATTTTCGGTAACCTTACGAGTAGTTACTTACAATTATACATGTATCGCGATATTCCGCACCGAGCCACCAATAGTGTCGTTGGATGAAATGTTGTGTTCGTGGGCAGAACAATCAGATGGCATAACAAGGCGGCCATTGCTTTCAAGTCCTCGCACCAATTAGACAGACTGAAATAGAATAGGATATTCTTGGTTCCTTCTAGTGTTCACGGTGGTTCATTGCTGCCATTCAAACAAGGCAGTGAGACAGTCGTGTCTATATTGCGGACTCAAAATTGGGAAAAGTGTCAAAAAGTCTGCTAGAAAGCACTTTGATATGGGTTAGGATGCCGGCCAAAATAACAGACAGTCAAATTTCGTCACAGTCCCTAGCTAATTCAATAAGGCGACAATGCCCGATTTCAAAAACGAAAATCGATATTCAGATGCAGACAATAGGTATGCGGTTGATGCGGGCTACCGTTAGCGTATATGAATAAGAAAGACGTGCATTGGACAGACTGTACGCGACTAGGGTAGCCCGGAGCTTGCAGAGATGAGAGCAGATATATCTGGTGGTGTTGCTTGTTTCTAATCTTAGTAATGTTTATTCTCAACTTGTGGGTTGCATACCGTTTAGCATGATCATGTGTTTACAGTCAAAATGAAGCATGACTGCGGGATTTGCGGGTAGTACGGATTGCGAGAAAAGAGAACAATGTCATAAACAGTGGGAAACATCCGACGAAATAATAATGGGTTTCTTTCCAAACCTGTAGGGCGCAGTGGGCATGAGGTCCGACTAGTTCAAAGAAATAGCCGGCTGGCATCAGTTGACACTGAAAACCATTGCTGGCCATGAGTGACTCTGTGTGGTTGTGTAGTTGGCCCGAGTCACAACGGACAAAAGTGGAGATGGAGATGGAATAATTCTAATTGGGGGCAAATGGTGAGTTTTGTCTCAAAAATAGGGTTTATCCTCAAACTAAGCAGACCCACTGGTTGCACTGTTGTGTGGAAGTCAGGTGCAGGGGTATCTTGTGTGGGAATATGGTGCTAATGCATACAGCGAACCGAAAACCGTATATGGATTTGAACTTATGGAAGAGGCAAGCCTAAATTTTAGCAGAAAACCAGTCTGCCCAAATTTGACAGAAAATTCTTCGGGTACAAAAGAACTCGTCCCAGAGACCGTGCCGGATGTGAAATTTCCTAGTAGTTGCGACTGTTGGCTCGAGTAACCGAGGGGTTGTGCTCGGGATTCTGAAGAAAATAGCTGCGGGATTGACATCACACTGGGTATGACAGTGCTCTGGCGTCACTGCACTGATATGCTTCGGTTTATGTACGGCCCTGTAACGATCGTCCAGTTTGCCATAATCGGAGAAGGGATACGCGTTTCTGTGGCAGCTGGATCTGGGCGAGACGGAGATTAACATAGAGAGTCAGGCAGACGTAGGTTAACGGATAACTTCCCCTTCGTTGGAAAACCGTTTGAATGTATATTGGGGACCAGCCTGCTTGGATAAACAACAGTTCTACATGGCGTTTAGGCAACTGCAGTCTAAGTTTGAAGTCGCTGTGACGAATTCCTTGACACCGGCGGGACGCTTGCCGCAACTACAGAAGAGGTTTCCATATCGAGGTCGCAAATTCCCAATCTAACTTGAGTTTACGCGGGCTTTATAGGCGTGATTATTGTCTAAGTCGTTTTTCGATTATTTGCAGATCAAATACGTCAGAAACTACGTAAACTGATCAGCTTTTACACAAAACTTCACATTGCTTTAATAGAGACAATGCTTCCATCAACCGGAGCCGTTAAAACACTAGTTTTGCGCGCGTAGTGGCAGTTAGTCTCAGAATGGAGCCTGAATATATGCGTTGAGCTTTGAAAAACCGGTGGCCCCTGAGGCGGCATTTTGCGTGTATTTTTAAAGCCTCTGTTAGCATTCGTTCTCTTCTATCAGTGAAGTTTTCGATTCGTTTGTGGATTGCTCGACGTGCATGCCACAAACAGGGCAGCCTCAGGTCCGAAACGCAGGCGTCTGAGCAAAGTTGCTTCCATTTCAGTCTCTCATTCCTTCCTTGCAGAGGGCGGATTATGATCTGTCATGCGGAATGAGTATATTTTGGGGGACGGTTTGCGTTTAGTGAGCGTTGTCAACCGTGCAGTCTTCTTCATCGTCACGGACAGGGGTTGCGGAATAGGCAAACGAACTATATGGGGAGCTCCAAAAGCCTCCGTACACAAAGCGGTGTCCGTCGTGGGCCTTTTCTCTATGTCTACTTAATTTCGTGACCAACGAGATAACAAGACAAACGCTGAATTGTCTTCTGAACCCGGTTTCCAAATATGCTACTCCAAAAATTTTGTCGATCTGGAGGATGAGGACATCGTTCTCACCTTCGAAGAGGAGGAAATGTCGCAGGTACCTTTGGATGAACTAACCAAAATCTTCGCGTTCTTTAGTGTGCACTTTGAGCACACAAGTCGTCAGTTTACAATAATGATGTTTATTCCAAATTGGTGTTTGGCATACCGGCGTGATCATAAAGTTGAGGTCAGAATGAAGCCTGCGTTTGCTCGTAGTTGCAATTAACGGAACAAGTGGGCAATAGGGTACTGTCAAGAGAAGGAAGGGGTTATTTGTGGGTGTGCCATCAAACTGAGTGCGGAAGTGCCGTGCCAATGTACTCAGCTACAAGCACGCGCAAGTGCCCAGCAATTACCATAGGTAGCCTCGGCAGTGGGAATCGAGTGCAATTATGAGTATGAGTAGCCGTCTTTGGCCGTTGGACTGGGCTACTGTGCAAAGCTGAGTCCTCATACTCAGCGTCGCACATAGATACAGACTTAGCACTTAAGATAGGTAGCCAAGGTTGGCGATGTCGACCATAGTTACGAGCAATATGGGCCGTTGTTGGCCGTTAGATTAGGATATCACGCATGGTTGGGGCCTCATTTTTATCGGCCCGCATTGGTACTGGCCCGACATTTACTATAGGTAGCAGACAAGCGGAGCGCGCAGAGCTGTGACTATGAGGGGCCAGCGTTGGCTTGTAGGTTGGGATACCGTGCATAGCTGAGTGGTACTGGCCCGACATTTACTATAGGTAGAAGACAATCGGAGCGCGCAGAGCTGTGTCTATGAGGGGCCATCGCTGGCTTTTAGGTTGGGATACCGTGCACAGCTGAAGCCTAATAATCGGCGTTGCTCATAGGCACTGTCCTAGCAGTTTCACAAAATGGCCAAGGTAGTCAACAGGGAGTAAAGTTTAGTGTGCCGTTGGTCGCCGTTGGACTAGGTTTGTGCGTATAGCTTGAGCCTCACATTCGTCGGCTCACATTAACATCCAGTAGCCTGAGTGAGCAACAGTCTTCTCACAAGGTCACCAAATGTTATCGACTCCTCCCACCCTACAGAGAAATCCGGATCTCCAGAATTGCGCAAGCAGAGATAAGAGGTTAATTTTGTAACGTTTGGTTGTGACCATGCCTTTTTCTTGGATTTTGTACATAACAAGTAGCGTTCATCGCCCACAGGTTTGGAGGCTGCGCCGTTCGGTGCTCCGGCCTCCCTGATTGCTTTAAAGTTTGACCTTTAAAATAGACCAGATAAGCATAGAGTCAAGGTCGATTTCTAGAGGCATGGATTAAATTCAGTGGAAGAGTTCACTTAACCAATCCCAGCAGATTCCACATGCAGGAGTGATCACCATGGTGGTGTGTAAAGTACGGGCATGGATTAAATTCAGTGGAAGAGTTCAGTTAACCAATCCCAGTAGATTCCACATGCAGGAGTGATCACCACGGTGGTGTGTAAAGTGCGGGGAATTTGTTGCACAAGTGTAGTGCTAGTATTACACGTGCTCCAAGAGTGGTGTGGTCTCTGTACCCGTTTGGGTGGATGGCACCCTGGGCTACTGCGCCACAA